AACGTCTTTAACATTCGAAAAAGTTTAGGTACACTGTTCGCAGGCCCCTATGTTTTCGTAAGATCGTCGAGATCGAGCGTGTGGCTTTGCATTACGGGGGTCCATCCTGGTCTCAAATGTTCTGAGTCTAGCTTGGGGAAAACTAAAACGGCCGGCCTTACTATACCGGTGAGCGTGCGATCCTTACGATCTTGGGAAAAATAGGGGACTGTGAACGCTGGCTAGTGTTTTCAGAATTACATTTTATCCATTTGATTGGTATACCAACCACATGTTGTTACTACTATTAGGTATCCCTTCTGTGATTAAAGTAAGTTACAGGGAGTGATCATTAACTGTTTAATAGTCTGTTCTCACATCCTGCTTGCCCTTGGTGGCTTAGTCATCGTTAGTCATCGTTATCAGATTAAACTGTTTAACCTAAGTGAGAAGAATGTTTAAATTCCTCTTTGCTGTCTAAATTCCAGTGCCTGTGCGTACTTGATATCTGCACATCCTCGTTTCCATGGCTTCGAGTGAGCAGGAAACAGTCTCTCCTGGAGGGTCCCTGAGCTAGCCGCATATTCCCTCGCTTAAGTCTTTGAGAACGCCGCCCTTAGACTTTCGTGACTCCAAAAGGAAACGCTTCCCTAAGCTACTTGTTGATTTGTAAACAAAGAGGCTGGTAATTAAAACAACCGTTTCCGTTATATGCACCGTGGCACTATGGAACAAAAATAACAGATTTAATTGCGAAGGTGTTCTGGTCGATCGAAACATTGAAGTAATAAAAAGCATTGACGAAGAGTGTTTTCCAGCGCAGCGAAGGTTTCATTGCTCTTTTTCTTCTTCTATTTTCCTGGCTGACATAAACCACGCATTGCCGAACGCCGGTGTCTTTTGTGGACTTCAACCTTGTGTCACAAGCAAGTGCTGCCTTTATCCGCTAAATGTCTTGCTCGCCTGGCGATGTCCGCGAGCTCGAAATATCCGATATAATAACACGTTGCTGATCTTGTGCTAGGTTGTATCTAAAGACGGCCCTTTCACACGCAGAACGATCCCTTGGCCACATTCGGTAGCAAAGAAAACCAACGACAACAAGTAGCAGTACGAGCAGCAATAACACAATACTAAGAACGAGCCAGTTATAAATCTTGTGTTTTGCTGTGAGATCCGCAAGTTGACATGATTGGCAAGCTTCCTCTGTGGAATTTTCGGCGCATGAACCTATCTGAAATGCCACAAGAAGAAACAAGAAAAGACATCTCCACATTTCCCGGCATAAATTCGCTTTTGTCTGCACACATATAAGAACAGCCATTTATCACCTCAGTATTACATGTAAGGCAGGAACTCAAACGGTCTATACGGATCAAACGAGAGCCCCGAGAGAGTGATTCGCTAGTCGCTTGACATATTGTTTTGATTACCTGTGTAATGAAGATGATACTAACTTCTTATGTGCCTTGCCGATATCACTTAAACAGGTGATAGTAGGACGACAACATTATCTCACGCTGTATTTTTCCGGCTTTACACAGATTTTTTTGCTAATCGATACCGACGGCCGCACCCAAGGTTAATCCGGGGCTACTCCATTATGGACAATACGGCGATGTGTCGCTCCCAAAGGAGTACCGTTTCGAGGCTAAAGGCACTATTGAAGGGTAGAAATTTCACAAGATAATCATTGTGAGGTATAAAAGAGGGTAAGGAAAACTGCCATTTAGGTAGAAAAGTGGTCCATGCTATGGCCGATATATTTAACCACATGTACCTTAAGATTTTGCAAAAACGCCTCTTGTTTTCATGATAGCGTTTCTGAAAGGGGTAGCATTTCAAATTGTAGAAGGGGAACCTTTTTTGTCAAAACTGCATAAGAGGGAAGGGAATAACTAGTTTGACCTCCGAGTAGATGATGCTACATACTATCAGATACAAAACTACAAAACGTCTGTCTGTCATCTAGATAGTTTTAAGAGCTGTCCAAGGTCAAATGTTGACATTAAACGGTGCGTACACTTTGAAGCTATAATTTGTTAGTATGTACAAAAGATAAAAAGTTCATTGCGTTGAAAGTCTTTTTATTTGCTCTTCATTATCTTATCGCTAACCGCAAGAACGTCGAATTCGTATTTCAGCAGAAAAGTGTTTTATCGCCGGCAAATGAGGCCGGCAAGAGCAAAAAGCGTTGTGATAGTATAAATCCCTCGAAAGGATGAAAAAGGTAGTCGATTCCATTAAATTTGATATGATCTGATTATATAGCCTAATTTTCTTAGCAAATTACAGGCGGCTCAGTTGTATGACAAGAAAAATCTGAAAGAAACATTCACAAACCTTTTCAGTAGAAAATTTGCCGCAAACGATTTTAATGTTTTGAAAACATATACAAGAAATATGCAAGACAAGTCGATGAGAAAACCGTGCTGGCATCTTTCTTGCCCCTGGTCTGTAATTACTCCCGAGGATTTTCCATTATTTATTTGCAGTTGTCTGTAGAACGTATTACACACTGTAAGTATATAAAACAACTTGCTACGGCAATTACAGTTAATTGGAGAGAGAAGTTTGCAAAGCGACATTTCTTCACTTTTTTGGCAAAAAAAAAAGGGAAATCCACAAGCTCTACAGGAGAAGGCCAACTTGGTTCGATAGTATAATGCAGCCTCTTAATTTCCTTGTCTTTGCTTTTTCCCAATGCAAAGTTAAATTGCGCGAAAGGTGTTCTTCACGTGATCAAGATTGTCGGTGTCTCGTAAATGTTTGCCAAAGCTAGGGCGGAGTTCCTCTAGCAGCACAGCGGCTCAGTTTGTCCGCTCTCTTCTGGTAGACCTTTCTACTGGTCATCATTGAACGTATCCCGTACATTTACCATCTTTTTCGACTAGAGTCTGTGTGGAAAGAAACCCGAGTTTTCCTTTTTAAAGATGGAAAAAGGGCGCATTTTGGCTTTCGCGCTACTTCTTCCTTGACTTCGGGATGAGCGTGTTTGCCTTTCCGTTTAATTTTGGCTGAGATTGTAGTTAGACATCGCGCCGAGAAACGGAGGTCGACGAGGAAAAAGATGTTTTGACAGCAGTCAGTTTGAAATAGTATTTACTTCCTCAGGGATTAGTTAAACGATAAGAAACAAGACAAAGCAGACCATAATGCTTAAGCTTTTACCCAGATTCTCTTTTGCCCATGAAATAGTTTTACCAACTATAATGAAAGATTCTATACAGAATTGAGATAAAGTTACCGTTGGCCCAAGGTCAATCCGACGTTATCTGCTAGAATACGAATTTCCTCCTGTGGGCCAGCACAGTTACAACGGCGAAAGATGAGAAGAATCAAAGATATGTTGACAGATTTACTTAAATGGTAATAAGTCTTACACTTCACCAAGTTTGCACGTATGGTGAAGGTCTTAAATTTCTTTTACGTGGTGGAATTTGTTTCCAAAAGAAAGGATGGGAAGGGGACCTTTCTGGAGGTGGATCAGCCTTTATTTGGCTCCTATTACGAAACCGTTGAGTTACTGTAAAAACGAAAAACCCGACTGATTTGCAGTCTTTTTGAATACTTATGTCGACACCTTTTATGACTTATATAACCTCAGGGCTCCTAATATAAGCGTTACTTTCTTTGGAATTTACATTATGGTTCTACACTTTTTGGCTTCGCGTTCATGTTTAGTTGGAAATAGACACTATAAAAAGTTTAGTTACCACAAACAACAGAATTTATTGATATATTTTTTAATTGGTTTAAGCAAGAATGGATGGTTTAAGTTTTTCTGTTCAATGGCAAATGACTTTTTGATTCTTTTCCGCAGTTTTATTAATTCATGTAAATGTCTTTCTTATCTTTAACATTTCCAGTGCTTGCACATGGCTAGTTTCCCCTTCTGCCTGCTAGTTTCTCTTGAGATTCGTTGGGGATAACCGCTTTGACTGCCGATCACTGGCTCAAGAAAAGTTTGTGCATATTTCGCCCAGCGGATTTCCCCAAACCAAGAATCTTCGGATTCACGAAAGACTCGGCCAAAGAAGGGTTTTACGAGGTTTATGATAGAATCGGTTAATCCAGCTGGAGATGCCGAAAATTTATATTATAAAACACGGCTAGAGTTATAATTTGGTTCACCAGTATTTATTACGACACCAGCAGTCAATGTTTGTTCCTGGTGGGGCTGCGTTGGGACACAGAGCAGAGGCACCCAACGACAGTTTTCTGCAAAAATATCTCTTCGGAGAAGCATAAATTACCTAAAAGGTTCTATACTTTGAGGAAGGCTAAGAATTTCTACATGACCGTTCCATTCATGTACAATTTTCGAAACTTATTTAAAAAATTCCCTACGATTTTCTGAAATTTAATTTTTCGCAGTTCACTTTCCAGATTATGTTATTTTTCACAGAAAAAGGAAACTCAGCATTTTCGAATTCGAAAATGCGATGGAAAGAGGAATCAGAAAAATTCTCACTTTCGAAAGACTTTAAATTGCATCTAAAATTTTCGGGTAAATAATACTGAAACCCTGGTAATTTCGAAAAGACTCAAGTTGCACAAGGATGACCGAACAGATAAATTTTATAGCGACGATTGAAATGTATTTCTACAGTTCTAAAAGTACTCTGAATAACCTAAAAAGTGTTTTCATGCATTTAGGGGGAAACCGTTGTCGGGTGCCCCCGTCAGAAGTTAACATCATTATTTCAACACGTTTCGTAATCTCTTCTTCTTTTTTTTCTATTCATAATGGCCTCCGTCTCGCGCCCTACCTTTTGTCGTACCTTATAATACATTATCATAGCCGCTTACATTACATTGTCATTCATTATTTCACACTGTTACAGTGAACATAGCATCACCCTTGAAGGATCCAGAATCCAAAAAACCGATGAGAGGTTTCGGCTCTTCATATCAGTATAGCTGTTATTTTTGAAGTGTAAACAATGGCTATATGCTGCCAAGTATGTTTGCTCATTATCGTACATATATATCTCTAATTGTGGTACACTGTATTATTGTTAAGAAGTGCTTTCTTCCACGTTGCTCCGAACCACTAAAACTTCATCGTAGCTCGGTGGGCTGTTCAAATGATCGAACTGTTGATCGTTGTAAGGTGGGGGGTCTTCATCGATGTTCTCAACATCGATGCTGACCTGGTTGGGTAATTCGCCTTCTACCGTGTCCCCTTCCTCCATGGGCCTGGGTTTATGGTAAGCCGACGAGAAGTCGTAAGGTGGCAGACGCACTTGGGGAAACATAAAATCACTAGAGAACGCATCGAGCTCGCCATTGAGCGCAAAATTGTCAATCCCCATGTTCAGTTGTTCAGCATTCCAGTCCCCCGTTTGTGAAGCTTGAGAACTGCGCGTTGCCTCTCGGAGCCTTTGATGCTGTAACTGCGCCAATCGTCTTCTTTTCATTCGCCCCAGGCAGAAAGATATCAAGCAAAAATTAAAGAACAGAACACAGAATCCAACAATTGCGATTGCAAATTCCTGATTTCCGGTTATGAAACTGTGAGACTTAGTAGTGTCTGTTTTTAATTGCCTTCGCGAAGTAGTACTAGAAGTTGGGTCTGTTATTACTTCGTATGTTGGGTCTTTTTCTTCTTGGTAAGTCATTTTCGTTGGCCCGGATTCCGTCGAATTTTTTGCGACGTCGATGCAAACACCTCCTTTACAAACCTTTCCAAAGGCACAAGAAATGTTCATTAAACCGCACTTTATGTTATCGATCACTTGGCTGTTGTTTTCGTTTGTGCCGTTTCCTCTTGTAGCGACAGGTTGGCTCACGAAATAAACTGCTACCAAGATGTGTACTAAAGACATGTTTTCAATCCCAGACGTACTTAACTCGACTTAACACTGAATCCTGCTTCGCTGTGTTTTGTTCAAAAGTTCAATTTCTGCTTCGTCATAGTGCGTTGGGTTATTTTCATTTTAGTCGGTTAGTGGACCGCAATTTACATTTTTGTTCATGTGAAACGATGCGAGGAACATATCTTGGCTGCAGTTGGCGGTCTTAATGAATACCCTTTATTTGCATGTGAATGTTGTTCAGTCACATCACGTAAAATTGGAGGAAAACAAAATGTTTGCATCTGATTTAGCATAGATTACGAAGACAGAAGTTTTATTTAGGTCAAACAGTTTTTCAAACTGAAATTGGGGTCATTTGGCAAGGGAACAAGTCAGTTTTTAATACTGAATTAAAGTATTTTCCGTCTATGATGTTAGCAAAGATTCCAACTCTCACAATGTACTTATATGTTGGCTTAATTACCGTAAGTACCTAAGTCACGGTTTTGCACCTAGATATAGGTATTAACTCATTGAAACCTTTTTCTTCTTCAAACGAAAACTCGAAGACAGCACAGACCCTTCGATTTTAAACAAGTGATAAACTTAAGGGGAAAAGAATGTCTAATTCTAATATAGTAACTGTCAATGACCAAGAAAAGGACACTACGTCACTTTGTTCTAGTTAATTATGACGTTTCACTTTCGTCAGTCTTTGGTCAGTGGTTAACTTACAACTGTTGATCTAAATTTAGATCGGGGACTTTTTTCCTTAAATATATGACCCCTGCAGGGAAGAATTGGCGGTGTTTACAAAAAGTAAGAGAGTAGAAGTTTCATCTAGCATGGCAGTAAATTCAATATTTCTTGAACAACCTACTTCCTCAATTCTTTCTTCCTTATTGAATAAAGCTGACGGCAGGGTTCGTTATGTTTTCAATGTTGCCATGGTAACTCTATAAACAGATTTGACCCTTTCACTCGATTCTGCTGACAGCGAAAATAACAGAGCAGATAAACAATGTACAATAATTCAATGGTAAGGCTAACCGAGTCCTTATTTTCAACGTTTGGGTTTATAAAGAACAAGATCGCCCAAGAGGTGATAGAACACATTCAAGTACAACTGTCAGAGCACGTTATTTCAGTGCTGAAATCAGGGCTGTTTTTTGCCAATCAGAATGTACGAACTCGTTACCTAAAATGCTTAAATCGGGGCTGCCAAAAGGCAAAAAGAATGAATAGCTTGTTGGAGTTATAAATATGTTATTTAATAGGTCATTTCCGAGTTCCCCCGGGCCTCTGTATCAAGTGTTCAACCTTTGATGAGGAAATATTTTTCATTCTCATGCAAATAAAACACATATTCACAAGAAAGGCTGTACACTTGGCCTCATTTTGAAAGTGAGGGTTTTTGGAACTCGGAAGTGTCCTATTCTGTTGATCGATAGGCTTTATGTTTTCTTCCAACACTGAATGCAGTCAAATAAACTCAAACAAAATAGCTTGTAAGTAGGCGGTTGTTTATTCATTTGTTTATTTCGTCGCCCACACAACAAAACTTTTAACACTTAATAAATTTTAAACCAATGTGATAGGGAAGCCTTGCGGAGCTAGTAGCTTTTTAAAATACATTAATAGGCTTCCGTAAGTTATATTGCTAAATACCTCGCTAAGGACAAAGTGAACAGAAACAAAAAAAAATAAGCGACTGATAGACCATCAATAAGATAGTCACCCTTCAGATTATTTTTTAAATGCGGAATGGGAGCTACTTAGTAAAGTAGGCAACGAATTCCAGATTCTTTGTCGTCGATAAAGGATACTGAACTGATACTTCCTTCTACAAAACTGAGGTCTATTCACGCTGAGAAGTCAATGGAATTTCGTAATGTTGGACCTCTTAATTGAGGAATGGGGCGAAGAATAGTGATGATAGAGACCTTAAGATAAACCGTTTTGGTGTAGGGGAACGAGTATTTCCCACATCTGTAGCCGTAGATTGCTTCCTAAGCTTTCCTACCCCAGACAGATGGTTAAGATACCAGGTCGAACTGACGATGATGATATTATCACATTTAGAAAGTCATGGTTGCCTTTTATATAACTACGTGGCAAACATGGTCGCCTACCATAACCCATAGACAGAAACGGTGTATCTTAAGGGGCCACCCGCCAGCCTGCTTCCGTGTTTAATAACTGAAGATGAGCCTTTTGTCAAAATGGAAGGTTGGTACTACAATTCTAGGTAGCATATGTTCCGAACAGAAAATTCAGTACCATATGGCTCTTGGGGTCAGTTAAATGGTTTATGTAATCGCACGAGGCCAAGTAAAGTTAAGGATATTACGGATGTAATTTTAAAGCAGATTCAACTTTTTGCCTTGATAACTTACGTTTATTCATCCCTAATGTATAGAAAAGCGGATAAATCTTGAATGCAGACAAGCTGTAAGGTGATAAGACTAACCTCGTGAGAGAGGGTGGAAAAGATACTAGGTCTTAAAAAATACTGAATTTAAACTTATTTCTGTGTAAAAACTAGATAAGTTATCAGAGGCTTACTGACTGCATGCTCAACTTTAAACCCAGAATGTTGATCGGATCGCGGAAGATCGTTAAATTCAGTTGTTCTGGAATCAAATGTCTAGCAAAGATCTTTTTGTTATTTCACCAACACGGATTCGAAAAGGGTGTTTCTATGGGTTAGTGGATAAGGGGCTGTAAATAACAGCTGAGTAAAAGACTGGAATGTTGCTTGTTTAAATTGAGTTTTTCTCAAAAGCAAACCTGAAGTAGAACTCCAAACGACTAAAGTTCAAGTTCTTCGGCAGCCACATGACGGAACCCGGCGTCTGCGTACTTAAGACTAATCCTATAAGTACTCGAGGCAAAGTGACCACATTTTCTTCATACAAAGCAACTATAGTAATTAGACTATTTATTATGGGAAAGTATATCAAAGTACCTTGAACTTATCTTGCTTCTCGTCTTTTCATCTCTGCCAAGTCAAGTTGACCCTCCTTTTAGGGAGTGCAGAGGTGTTTTTACATATAACAGACATGAGACTTTTTAATTTTTTTATTACGCAGATACGATAGAATGCATAGCTATGATGGCTAGTAGAGTCAGCGATGCTATAGGGTACGTCAAGAAAAAAAATGTAGATATATGCCGTGAATTAAAAACTGTATGCTATATTATACAAGTCAACACAGGGTGATAGTGACGTTTCAGTGTGTCCATAACAGGCGACACCAATAATTGAAGACAGTCAGGAGCCTGAGACAGTGTAGATTTGATGTCAGTAAAATAAATAGCATCATGGTTATGTTAAGTGAGTCTCTTAGTGGTTCAGTGAATAGAGCATCCGCCACAGGGTCCACAGGAGATTACTATGTTGTGCGAACAACAAGACTTTGACAATAATTTGTTACAGTTTCGTTTCACAACATATACACCCCAGACCTCAACACTGAAGGCTCGTAAGATGCCATGATCGGCTAACAGTAAATATTTATGCTTAAAGCTCACAAAGCTTGTCTTTCTGCCGTTGCTCTTAAGAGTAAACGGTCATTTGCGCCTACGAGGAAATGCTAGTGGTCATTTATTTTCAAAATGAAGATCTGTAGAAGCTCTTGATCAGGAGATATGGAGTCGGGAATCAATTCAAATTGGAACCGTAAAGATCCGGCATTGGGCCAGGAGACTAGGTTCTTAATTGTGCTTATTAAGTTTGCGAAGCGACGAGGATTTATACTTTGCCATTTTTAAAAGAAGTTCAAACTTATGGACCCTGTGCATCCGTCTGGTGTTTAGCAGGTCATAGGTTCGCAACCATTCTAGGGAAAGGGGGTGGGTGGACTCAAGATTCTACGCTCTTGACAGGACATCAGTATTATTACATCTGGCTTTTTCAATTTTCGGTTGTTTGTGGGCTGAAACTTACACTGCCTGTTCTACTTTCTAAAAGTATCAGGATTTCCAAGAAACGGCCCTTACTTCGCACTAAAACATTTTTTTTATATATAAGCACAACTGTAAAACGGAGCTTGCTGCGTTCGGATAGTGGAAAAGAAGGAGAGAGGAGGGAACGCCTGTGAGATTTGTTTTCAAAAGGTCATTCCGCCCACTTTGTCGGCTAGCAATTCGAACGTAGTTTCCGGTGTTAAAAGTTGTCAATCAAGCAACGGGCGACAAACCGCACTGTTTACTGAATTAAAAAAATATATATGCCTGTATTCATCTTTTATATTTGTTTTCTGCAAACGAATAAATCCTTTACCTCCAAAAATGAAAGAACTGGCAAGTATTACTCGTTCCACCTTCTCTGCCGTCGATTTTCACTGAACAGATCATATACTAGCTGCTGTCGGTTTTTGTTGTTATTATTGAAATGCTGTTTGAATTTGTTTGTCAGTAAAAGCTTCAACGCGTAGCTTTGAAAGACGTGTTAAGCGAATAGAGATCTCAAAGTACGTCCCGAGACTAGCGCATTTGTTCCTTTTCACAAAATCGGCTTTCAAAATATTCAACATCTTTTTGCGCCGTCCCCAAGATCTAAACGCTTGGAACAGGCTACTGTAAAACGCTGTTCTAAGCTTAATGCCCCAATGACTGCTCTGTAATGTTCTTTAGAAATTCAGAGTAAATAAACAGATAGATAGGGCCTTTTGTCCAGTAAGTTTTTATTTTTTAAATATATTGTCCAAAAGTAAACAATTGTCGCAAAGCTTTGCCTATTTCCGTTTGTGAGCTTACTTCTTGACGCTCCCTTTCCGGGTTGATGGCCTCACTGGCCCTACAAAAAATGGCTAAATTGTCACGTAGCCAAGAGGGGATAGTATCCTCTCCCGCACTTGTTTGTTTTTATTTCAATGTAATTTTCTCCCTTATACTCTGCATTTCCACCATTTATAACAATCAGAAGCTTTTTAAGTTCTGATTTACAGTACGAAAGTCTCAGTGAGTAGCATGTTATTCAGGTTATTGAAACCAGTAGATATTCAGTTTTAAGTAACTGTACCACCACAACGCCTTCGCTTCCTGCTTGTTCTTGCTTCAGTTGGTAATCCGGCCTCTAGAAATCACTGTGAACTGAATCTAAACTAGACATGCACTGGGGTCCCCCCCAAAAAACGCAAATCTGGCGATACGAAATTCAGTCTAATTAACCTTCACTATAAATCTATACATGACATACCGTAAAATCATCCTTACTCTGAAAGGAAACTCAAACGAAAGGAGTCTAGCCGGTGTTAAGGTAGTCACAAGTTTGTCAGTTTACCTTCTGCGTCATTTTCGTCCTGTCGATCCCCTTCGTGGATAACACAACCGGTGCAGGTGACGTCAGATCAAAGCGACACACTTCAGTGTGTTTCATATTGATCCCTGTTTTTTGTTTTTCAAAAGTGCTTAAACCAGCAATTTCAGTGTCTAAAAGTTAAACCCAGATTCAATCTATAGTTTCCTCGCGAAGTTTACGATCTTGTATCGCCTTGTGTCTCAAAACCTGTTGTTGACGATTCACTCCGCAGAACAACCACATCGTAAGGCGGCGGCGTCCCGAACAACACTCCGTATTCGGGAGGTTGCTCGGACGTGCTCGGGAGTCGTGGTAGATTTTCAGTTCTAAAGTTTTGTCCTATAACAGTGTTAAGAATCTCTCCATTTTCATTACAAATGAAGTTAAAGAGACTAAAATACGGCGGTGGACCCGACGTCGTGCTTAAGGAAGAAAAGCGTCTCCTAAGCAAGTAATCAGGAATTTCAATAGCAGTGTTTTCACACGTTATCATATTAGAATCGTTCGTAGAATCGCTGTTTTGTGACCGGGGTCCTTGCTTGAGGCATATGTACACCAACAGCATCACTAAACCGATGATCAACACCACAGAAACGCTCATTATAGCCACTATGGCTTCAACTGCATTGTTCGTTACGTTGGTCTCACACTCCTTACCGTCGCAAAGTCCGTTGGAACATGTCTTTAATGGCTCTGTGCATTGCGAACAAACACTTGCCAAAGTAGCTAAACTTACCACTAAGCGTGACACAAAATGTGATCCTTCTAGGCGCCCCATTTAATCCCGGCCGAGCGACAATTCACGGCTCTGCGTTGTTACAAGTCAATTCTCTGTAACTGTTTGGGTTGTTTATTTGTAATTTGTATATTAATCTCGCTTTTATACTCCAATTCATCCGAAACATGGGTGGATTGCTCACTTCCGGTTACCTATGACGTCACAAGGCTAACTCGTTCCCTTTCATTTTTCACCTTGGCTGCCGGAATAGGGATGGGCAGAACCCTTGTCGCTTTATTATTTACTGTAAAAACAATCTACCCAGTAAACATTTGTTGTTCAGTGTTAAGAGGTTTTTACTGATTCAATACATGAAACAAAATGCCACTGAAGTTTGTGAAATTAGGAAGGCCTTTTTGTGGTCAACCTCTTAACCTCAAAGGAAGTTTAAAACACGTTTCACTTGAGTCCCATTCAATTTCACCTTTCAGTGCAGTAATATCCTTACTAATGCCTTTTTATGCAGTTAAGTGCCTTTCAAGAAGAAATAGTTTCATTAAGTATTATATTGCATTCGCTCATAAGCACCAAGAATCGTGGGTCGTAAGGAAAGATATTTTTAGACCAAAATCCTCGAAGCAGTTGTTACTTTAAAGTCTGAAACGAGATCCTCAGTGAACGGTAACGCTACTTATGTTGTAAATTGATGTACTTGAATAATCCTTGTTTTTAATCCACTGCAATGTGTGGTTCAAAATTTTACATTGTTTCAACGCTTCTTATTAATATGCACAGTGACTCAAATAAAGCCTATTAAGGTAATGTCTGAGAAAACAGAGACTCAGCGTAGCGGTCTTGTAATAAAACTCACGAGTCGCCTTTTTGCTATACTGTTTTCTTTTGCTTCTTTACCACTCTTCCTACAATAGCAACATTTTTCGCAAACTGAGCATAAAATTGATCATCAAAACACAGAGCCCGGAAATTTACTAAATGGCATGACCGGTCACTGTTCTTTCTTTGCTTTTTTTCAAAATATTACGTTACTGATGACGTTTGAATGCCATCATTTCTTAAGTTTAACTTACTTGAGTGTATTTCCTTATGCTTAAAACCTGTCTGAACTTCTACTCATAATAGTTTTTATGTTCTTTCTTCTCATTATGAAAGGACAATGCTCATACACCAAATCTGCACACGCTCAACTTATCTGGAACATCTTAAAAAGAGGTATTTGTTAGTGGCAAATCAAAACAACATTACGTTGTCAGCTATTATACAGATTCAGTCATATCTTTAAAAAAAAAAAAGTACCCTAAAAAGCAGCAAGGTCCAGTACTGAGTGATCAAGCGATGTTCTAAATCAAAACAACCATGCCACCAAAATTTATGCCCATTTTGTTATAGCCAATAGTGATGGCATACTTACGAACAGCAGTAAGAGATTATATCACCTGTGTTGCAGTACATAAAAGAGTTTTCTTTTTAATTTGTTCCTTACCACCTTTTTGACACACTGTTTTTGAAGTAGACCCAGAAAATTGGCTCCTTCAGAATAGATTTTGACTTCAAAAAAGAATTAATCCTTGTCAGTTTAAATGTGGCAAATTTCACGCGAGCAATAAGCAGACGGTTTGACGGAAAGGACAAATAATTTTAATGTACTTGTTGTTTTTAAAGACCTTTCGTTACGGTCGAAAACTCACGCCATCTTAAAGCCTTCCTTGCCTATGCAATCACTCAATTCCTAGGCAAATACCGGGGGGGGGGGGTACTCCCTTATAAGGGCTTAATGGAGACGTGCGGCCAGCCAGGGTATGTTTTTCGGGATTTTTGTCTTAAACAGGGTATCGAATTTATCATTTTTTGTCTTAATCAGGGTATCGATTTATCAATTTTTGTCTTAAACAGGATAAATGTCTTAAACAGCGTATCAAAAATCGGAATTCTGTCTTAAACAGGGTAGGAAAATCAGCGATATTTGTCTTAAACAGGGTCAGGGTATGAGGGGCCGTGCCGCACCTCCCCACCCAGGGATATATCGAGTACCCCCCCCCCGGGGGGGCAAATACTCCTCGCCAAGTTGCATCGGTAAAAAAGAGCGCTTTTCATCTTAACCATCAATTCTGTTTCCCCGACTGAGCGTAGAACAGACAGAACAGGACAAGGCGGGATGTTTGCTCCTCCAGAGTAGACTTTTACTTGAAAAAATGAATTGATCCGTCAGGTTACTATGTCAGAATATCAAGTGAACTAGACGCAGCCCTGCGAAGGCTGGGCAAATATTCTTAATGTAATTATAGTAATTTTCATAATTACGGACCCGTTAATGAAGTGCAAACCGACTTCCGAGATATTCCAAGGTTAAGGTATCGAACGTGCATTTGTACATGTACCTGAATTTGTTTGAAACGGTTGTGTATAGCAACCGACCAATCGAGATTTAAATGCATCTGTCAATGAAAGCAATTTGCATGTTCGGCCTCGCGTAAAGTTTGTTTATAGCCATATAACGTCTAAGTCCTTAACTGTCAGTTTTCACTTAAGTTAAGTGCTGCTCTTTTGAAATCATTTATTACCTGTTAGTTTGAACTTTCATTATCCTAAGTATGTTTTTCATGAAATAGATAAAAATAGTTAAAAGTAGCTGAACGTCCCTCTATGATGCTTAAGCAATCAACCAGTCATATATCGTCATTGTCCAAGTGCCGTAAGAGGCTTTATGCTGGGCAATAAAATACGACTATTCTGTTATATGTATATCTACCTGGAGTTTTGAAAACCGGGTTGCCTGAAATCTTAAGTCAAGTCCAGCACATTGCAGGCAATCTTTCAAAACTTAATTCGCTTAAAGCCCTGATACTTTTAGTGTAAAAATAACAATCTCGCTCTTCAGGACTAACCACCCTCACCTCTTAACCATGGGCTCCAAATAACTTCCTGGAATTGACAGAAATCAGTGCAAATTCCAGAAAATTTGCACGAGGGGGGCAACGGCCCGTCCCCGTTGGCCCAGCTAATATTTTTTGAGGTGGGCTTCCGTCAAACTAAGTCTCATGTTGTTGCACAGACACAGGGCTATCATTTGGTTTGCATTTGGGGTAGCCTGATCAAATTCTAGGGGGGTGGGGTTGTTGTAAAGACTATGCTTTGTGCTAGAGTGCAGATTTGCTGAGTCTTTGTACCTGGGCTTACCCCTGTCTTTCAAAGCTCAATGTCTCCCTCAAATTAAGCGGGGGTTGTGTCTGGCTGGCTGTCATGTTGTTGCACAGACACAGGGCTATCATCTGGTATGCATTTGGGGTAGCCTGGTTAAATTCCAGGGGGGTGGGGTTGTTATAAAGACTATGCTTTGTGCTAGAGTGCGGATTCGCTGAGTTTTTGTACCCGGGGCTACCCCTGTCTTTCAAAGCTCAATGTCTCCCTCAAATTAAGCGGGGTTGTGTGTCATGTTGTTGCCTATCATCTGGGTGCCATGTTGTTGCACAGACATGGGGCTATCGTCTGGTATGCATTTGGGGTAGCCTGGTTAAATTGCAGGGGGGGTAGCCTGGGGTTGTTGTTGTAAAGTTTGATGTGTTTTTGCACTGTTATGCAGTTTGTTTGTGCTGTTTGCATGCAAGCAATGACCCACTCTGTTGCTAATGTTCCTAGTCAGCAAGCAGTTGAACTGCTGGTTTTAGGACTTGGTTTTGTTGAGCAGTGTTGGCTTAGATTGTTTTTGGGAGGCCAGCTTCAATTAAAAATGGGGTGAACTGGGGAATTGGCTTTGCAATCGTTGACACCGACACTAAAAATTGCTTCTTAAAATGCCTGATTTTCCAGATTAATGAGGAAAACGTCACTTTTGTTACCTTCAAGACAGACGATTCTATCAAATGGAGGCTCATGTATTCAATAATTTCTTTTTGAGGTGAGATTTTACTTTTCAAGTAACAAGGGCCATCAAATTAACAATCAGTGCGAGAGACTGACATTTTTTAGTAGCCCGGTTTTCAAAAAACCAGGTATATATATATATATATATATATATGGGAGTTCAGGCTTCAGGAGTAATCATTGATCGTTTATTACGACAGTGCTGTTTCGTATGGTCCGATTACTCCTGAATGATTACTCCTGAAGCCTGAACTCCTGTGATTATTAATAATCAATGCTCTTCAATTAAATGAATTGAGCGCTCTACGGAATACGTTCTACCCAGAATACAAGTATTTATATATATATATATGTATATAAGGACTAGAACGTGACGACAAGTTCATGAAAATAAACTCACCCAAGAAGCCTTTCCATAACGTAATCAACACGAAGCACAGCGTCGGTATAAAAGAGTGGCAGTTTTAAGCGTATTTTCTTGATTGGTTGAAAATCCGAGTACTCTTTGTTTTGTATTTGCTCATATTGTAAACAAAGGCCTTCCCACGTCAATCGGACACCATTTAAGTTACAAAGGACAACGTTTATCCAGTTCCACTTGTGAATATTCTGATTTTTTCAAAAAAGAATAGAGTTAACACTCTGAGGTGATCGACTTAGTATCAAAGTGAAGGAAAGGAAAATACTCGACCTAATATCCTACCTGTTAATAAACATTTTTTTAGCGATCAGTTTCAACTAGGGCAAGAGCTACGCAGAAATGTTCAGGAAGCATTGGCCAAAGTTAGTGTTATACCAAATGCAAAGAAGACAAAGTACACGTCCTTTGACCATCAAGTTGATGCTGGGCTCAAAACATTAGACAAGGAAGTAATTGAACTTTAAGTATCTGGGTTTATGGATCAGTGACTCAGAACATGACCTCAAGGTCAGAAAGCTTCAGCTTGGATAGCTTTCAACCAGATGAGAAAAGTGTGGACCGCATACCTGCCACGAACAACAAAGATTAGACTGTTTCGAGCAACTGTGGAGTCTGTCTTACTCTATGGAAGTGAAACGGGGACCCTGATCAAGGGGCTGGAAAAAGTGTAAATGGATGCTCCACCAGAATGCTGCGAATGTACACTGGCAACAACATATAAACAACCAGGAACTATACGGGAGCCTCCCAAGAGTCAGTGAAACAATTCGTGCGAGACGATTTAGATCAGCTGGCCATTGTGCTCGTCACAATGACGGGACTGCTTTAAAAGCGCTGTTAATTTTATATTTTTATGTGCGTATCAACTAAATATCTGACATTTTTTTAGGTTGCGTTTTTTGGTCGGAACTTGGCTAGCCATGTATATTGATCCCCTGCTGCGGCGTTTCTGTTTATCCCTATTCCACCAAGAGTATAGCGAGATTCGTATGGCGAAAATTGTCTACAGAAGTCACGGAAAGACTGGAGATAAGTCTCTGACTCGTCTTCTTGGGCAATACTAACAGAAAATTTGGGCTAAGGGTGTGCATCATTTTTCTTTCAAAATCTTACCCCATTTCAGACCAAAATGGGGCTAATGTCAGTTGAACTCACTCTGACAAAAATGTGCTTCCAAATGTCAATTCTGAGCTATTCTCGATAACAATTTTGGTCACAAATTTCGCAAAAGCATTGCTTTCAGTACTGGAAATATTTCTGAGCAGGGAATACCTGACAGTTGTAATTGGCTAGCCTGAGAAAACAGTCGACATTTCTCGACGCCATCACTGGTTTCCCGGCGAAGTGACGTCTGAGAAACGAGCGCAGAAATTCCGTTCTGAGGACGTGTCACTACCCAGATCTAGGTGGTGCTTCTGATTGGCTGAATCAAATTTCCCATACAGCACGACCAATCAGAAAAGATTTAAAATTTCCGATGTTAAAGATAAATACTTACAAAAACGCTGCGTCGCGTTTTAACCCTACCCAATTAAACACCTATAAATACCTATAGTTTCATGAAGAAAAATCTTCCCATCTCCTACCCAACCCCATATGATATTTACACGGTCATAAAACGTAGGAACACCCAAAGTCAACGTGAATGACCTAAACATCCTCATTTTGCTGAATCCTATTTGGCACATTTTTTCCATATGTAAGTACGTTACTCGCGACTGGTGCGCGGGTTACTTTTTATCGTTAATTTTTCTTTTAAAATCGGTTTATTGAAATTGATCTTTGACCTCTTATAGCTTCCAATTGCCCTAGATTTTTGCACCTAAAGTAATCGTGATGGTGGCAACGTGATTCCCATGAAATCAAGGTAGGATTTTTGAGTCTCCAGTTTCTTTCAGGTAGTGAAGGCTAGATAAAATTTGTGTTTTTGCTTTTGAAAAAGAGTCGCAGAGACGAATAATTTGAGTTTTGTCCATGCACGTATGTGTAATTTACAAGTTTACGTTTCATTTAGGAATAACTATTTTTATTATATCCATAGCTTTGTCAGTGCACATATGTATATTTTACCAAGTGTACGTTTCATTAAGGAATAAGTCTATTTTTCGATTGCATCCGTGGCTCAGAGTACACATGTCTTTACTTAAATATTGCTCTGAAAGAGAAAACGTTATTCATTTCTTACTTTTTCCCCCATTCCTAAAAATTTTGTGTCTTTCTTTCCTCCGGGAATCTTCTTTGGCCCACCATTCCACCCACCAGACTCGCCCCTGCATAACACTTTTTCGGCCCGGTTGACGTGCGGTGGCAACAGTCGACCTGTATGACGGTAACACCTCGCTTTTTTCTGAAAGGGGGATCCCTGAATCTTGTTTAAACTCCTTCACATAAAAAATTGAGAGCGGCCATCGCAAATCTTCTGCCCTTCTTTCACCTAACGTTCGAACAATGTCTCCACCGTCGTCAGTGGCAAGCTTCTTTGTCACCTCCGAAGATGAACTGATCTGTTCATTATCAGCTAGAAAATATACATCTCTCTCCCATTCAAACGACTTGTCCCTTGGATCATCCTCCTGCCCATCGGCGTCCGAATTAGAATCGTCCGTGCTCGGGGAAGCTTCGGTTTCCGAACTCTTGTCGGACAGCGCCTGGAACACTCGTTTGGTCTTCTTGCTGACTTTTCGCACTCTATTTTTAGCAGTATTTCCTGAAGCGTCGTCCGAATCACTGTAGCCCTCCGTTTCATTCTCGCGCTTAATTAATTTATCGACGTAACTTTCAATATCAAACTCCTCACATTCGGATTCTTCGTCCGAAGAATTCGAAACTTCGGAATGAATCGTTGAATTATCAGACTCATCCTCCTGTTCAGAAAGCTGAGTGTTTTCCCTTCTGGTAATTGCGTCAATGATTGCTTTTACGTCAGCCTCTGCGTATTCCTCACAAGGTACCGACTGGTTGGTTTGAAGTGTGTTCTTGATGTTCTTATTTTTTTTCGTGTAACCAACAACTTTTCTTAGGATCGAGGGATACTCAACAAGATCTTTATCAGCTGAGTCTGAATCCTTAATAAAATCTTCCCCTTTAACTAAAGAATCTAAAAAGTTGTTTTTTTCAAACTCTGAGTCTCGTAAAAACACATTTGTTGAAATGCTCTTATGTTTATTTCCAACATGTTTTATTGCAGCATTTTTTCCTGAAAAAGTATCTTGCAACTTGGATACGTTGAAAACAGCTTTTCTATGCGTTACCGATCGGTCTATATCATATGTTCTTGAACTGTTTGCAAGGTTGTCATCTGCTCCGGTGGTCTGGTTAATTTCAGGTGTCTTAGCTCTGTGTTCTTTCCTTTTTCCTCTGTTACTGTCCAACAAGATCTCATCCAAGGCAAGCGAACCTCTTCTGTTGCTAGAAAGAAGTTCAAATTCGCTTTCATCTGCAGATGTCGAATCGCAATCATCTTTGTCGTCTACCAAGGGGTCTGACTTTCTGTTATCTCTAACCACTGAGTCGTCTAATGAATCAAATCGATGTTTTTGTGCGTCGTCTGAGTCTTCAGCCGAATGGGAATTATCTCCAGATCTTACGCTTCCTGTTCTCTCAGTACAATCAGTGGAACTTTTGCGTTTCCCCAAATTGCCAAGATTTGAATCCTTTCCTTTCGACTTTACACCTTTGACTCTCTGCCATAATCGCTTGAAAGGCTTTTTCCATACGCTTGACATATTTAAATTCATGCATTAGTTAGACAGAATCACAAGCATAGTAATATTGTTGTTAATTTGGCTGACGGCAAACGGAGAGATGACTAGAAAGCCATCAAGACAACCATTCTATACCCCGAGAAGCACTTGCAATGAAAAAGAAACGGTTTTACGCAAAGAGATTCGTATAAAAGGAAACATTTCGTCACTTTGAGGCTTCTTGGAACGCCACCGATGGTATCGGTGTAGAACAAAGAAATTACTTTTACGCAGTGAAACAGGTGGCGAGCAATAATATTTTTTTACACCAAAGCAACCAAGATCAAAACAATTCCAACATGAAACTTTGTTTGTAAAAGGTCATAAAACAAGCAATCTTAAATAAACTGTCTATGCAAGAGGTTCATGAGATGGTGACATTTTTTACAAATGTAATAATTGTCTTCAGCGCTTGAATTGGAGAAACACTGCACTGTTTGAGATTCAGAGGTTAATTCAGAGAGATTACTTTTGAAAGCAGCAGCTTAGAATTTCGTCATTATTGTAACATATTTGATGTAATAGTTACTTTCAAGCAGTTGAAAACAAACACTAGAGGCCTTTTCTTTGGTGTGTATTTTGCCAAAATCAGTACCGTTATGAACTTGATTGACGCTTTATAATGTTACTGTTAAGGTGACAGGAAGTAATGTTTCGAGCCCAAACAAAAAGTGGACTGGAACAAAGCTATGCCCTGCTTAGACAGACTGTGACAAATCATTATTTTTGACAGGCCAGTAGTGTTTTAAGTCGCGAAATTATTATCCTTGATCTTTAAAATCTATCCTACATTTCATTTTCTTAGAGATTAGTCACGCTGTGTGATGAATCTTTTTACAGCGTTAGACTTTTAACGAAGTCAATTCGTTCATATTGTTTTGCAGAAAAACAAGACCAGCTGCTGCAGTTTTCGCATGTGGTTATTGTTATATTCTTTCAGGAAATCACTAACATTACGTATTAAGGTGGCTCACAAAGGATTCAGCATTTTTCAACACTTCTACTTCAATAGATCAACACCGCATGCTCTTTCTGTCCATGCTACAGTAATGCCCAAGGTTCGGTCCCTTCCAAAATTCATGATGATCACAAGGCAAGGTATATTTTCCCTATAACAACCATGTGTCTTGTTTAAGACTCCATCAAGTTTAGCTTTAAAAAAAATGACAGAAGAAACAAGTTTTATGACCCCCATGTTCAATTATCGAATTGAAATCAGCATTTCACAGACACTTGGAAGCGCTTTTACAGCCTCTTCAATTTTCCAATTTTTACGTTGATTCTGGGTTACATGGGATAAATGAATTAAAATGTAGTAACTGAATTTGTTTTCGATTGATAAGTATCTACTTATAGCTAAAAATATGGGTGTTTTGATATAAAATACCGTTGGCATGATGACTGGTAACGTCAAATGAAATGGACATATCTTGTCCCAGGGTCAGCAACATTGATAAATCGTTCACGTAACCGCTGACATCAGACGTCAAGCTCAATCAAAACTCTTTGCTTTAACGCCAGGCGTTCACCATTACGTTTGTATTGTACGCTAATAAGTTAAGATAAAACTACTGAAAAGTTTTCCCGTTGCAACGACGTCGGGGTCAACGTCTCAGCAAAAAGTAATCCCATAACAAGAAGTAACGCCGGAGTCGTATTCTGCGTTGGGGGTTTCCCTTCTAGAGGATGGTAAGCCTGTGCTCTCACTGGTTGGGGCGGGAACCTTTATCTTCGCTTGCTCTCTGCATTCAAGTTTTCTAAAGAATATGTTAAGTCTGTGCCCTCACTGGTCGGGTGCAACGTATTAGTTATTCTCTTTTATACAGTCATTAGAATTCATAAGTTTTCTCCAGATGTTCCATCTCTTGGGAATCACCCTTGGCCCACCATTCTTGGCACTATACTCTTCCCAACATTACTTTCCTTTTTCGGCTACCTTGGGACGCGGAAACTGCAATTGACTTGTAGGAGCATAAAGTTTCCTCGATGTATGATAATGGCATATTTTTTTCTTGAGTGATCTCTGCCTCTTGTTTAACTTCCTTGACAAAAAAGTTTGAAATCGGCCACCGCAGACCCTCTGCCTTGCTTCCTGTTAGCGTTGACGCCGGATTAACTTCAACCACTTTCTCGGGCTCTTTCAAAGAACGAGGGACGTTTTGGGGGGAACCTTTATTTTTGGCTGTCTCCGGATCTAAAAGGGTAGGTTCGCTGTCCTTCTGTAAATATTTGACCATTTCACTGAGCTTCATAGACTTAGGAAGGTCTGGACCCGTATCTTCCTCCAACTCCATATCTGCAAAACTTGTTTTGGAAGGCGCGACCGCCATATCCTCGTCATCATCTGGGCTCACCGTTTGTGTTGAACTCGAATCGGAATATCCAATTTCTATCATTTCAGTAGATATCTGGTCTGCTGCTTCCAAGGCATTTTGCAAATTGGCTCTGCGAAGGCGTCCTGAATCACTCTCAGTGTCACTCTCACTTTCGTTCTCGCGTTTGATAAGTTCATTGACGTAATGTTCGATGTCAAATTCTTCAATGTCCGATTCTTCTTCTTCTGTCCAGTATGCTGGTTCCGAGGTATTTTGTGAATTGACGCTCACGAGGTCCTTGGCGTCTTTCATCAGGTCTGCTGCTTCCAAGGCATTTTGTGAATTGACACTTACAAGGCTTCCTGGATCACAGCCATTCTCACTTTCATTCTCACGTTTGATAAGTTCATTGATGTAATGTTCGATGACAAATTCTTCAATGTCCGATTCTTCCTCTATCGGATCTTCTGGTCCCAAAGTATTTTCTGAATCGACACTTACAAGGTCTTCTGAATCACTCTCACTGTCACTCTGACTTCCATTTTCGCGTTTGATAAGTTGATCGATGTAATGTTCAATATCAAAGTCTTCATGGTCCGACTCTTCCTCTAATTCTGATTCTTCGTCCGAACTCTCATCGTCTAATTCCGAACCTTCAGAAGAAGCTGTTACGCTATTAGACTCAAAGGAGTAACGGGACATGTGTGCGGATCCCTCGGTCACAGCTGAAATTGCACACATTCGCACTAGGGTCGTCCCTGTACTATTCTTTCTTTCTAAAATGGGGGTAATCATTGCTTTTACGTCAATGTATGTGTATTTCTGAGCCACGGGCTGTTTATGTCTGGATATTTTCACGATATTCTTAATTCTTTTGCTGTCAGTGCCATCTGAACCTTTCCTGTAGCTGGAAAAATTTCTGTCAGCTGAAGTAGATTCCGCATAGGCCAGTTTATCTTTCAAATGATCTAATGATCCTTCCTCTTCAAGCTTTGAGGGGCTTGTACCTGGTAAATGGTAATGTTCTTTTTTGTCATCAGCAAGCAAAGTGGTTTTGTTTAAAGAGCTTAGCCTCGATCGTGCTTGAAAGCCACTACAGGATTGTTTGCGGTTCCACGAAGCACTGATTGGCTCATTTTTACGTTCATCACATTTTACACGGTAAACATTTCCTTTTACCCTACTCCACAATCGCCGAAAAGGCTTCTTAAGCATTTTAGACATGGCTAAAAAACGAGGCACATCACTCGCGATATGAGAATCCTTACGACCCAATAGACATTAAAATCGAAAAAAACACTCAATCTACCACACTGGGGAGTTTCCAAAACATCTTGTCGCAAATGGCATGACAGGGTAACTTACGCGGACTCCATGCGTCGAAAACACTGACAGGTGTTACTGGCGAAAGTTAATTAAAACCCATTTTTTTTTTCAAATCATCCAAAATAAAACGCGAATAAGATCTACTTAGCTCGAAAAAACCGAACAAAATAGAATAAAATTACGAAGTAACGCACTTTTGCGGGATGTCATCTGTGCATACTGAATTCATCATTTCTGCTAAAAGTATTGCTCTCGTTTAATTGATCATGATAGCCACCTTGTCAGACTAGCATAATTCTCATCAAAATGTGATCACAAAGAAAAAGTTGAAGCAATTTTAACAAATGTATATAATGAGCGCGGTGTTGCAGTTATTTGTCATCAATAAAATTTGGAGCTACCGTGGTGCTTCTGTGCATTATTTGTTTTGTTTGTGGGAGTTGTGTTTCGTAAGGCAATACAAAGTAATCGATAGCAAGTCTAGAATTTTTTCCGATTTTTGTGTGTGCTTTGCCAAAGTGAATTTCCATAACGATGTTAAGAAAGCAGAATCGGTCTTAATCAACTTGAGAACACTTGGTTCTATGTAAGAAGCGATAGTTGCTCTGTCTCAAACAAAGGGCGAAGAATATTATCGATCAATCGGTGGGGTGATAAAAACAATTTATGAACCCATCACAAACAGTTAAAATGAACAATTGTATTGTTCCTTGAAATATCTATAAAACGTTTTCTCTTCAATTAATCAGTGTCGGCCCCTGTTGATAAACCTTCAATTACTGCATGCTAACACGATGTCCTACGGTTATTAGTTCTAAACAGTGACAAATTTCGGTAATTATAGAAATTTCTCTCATATGAGAATACCGTGATATGCTTTATTTTGCACAGTGCGATAAAAAAAAATGCTAATTTTTTTCGACATAATGTTAGTGATATGTCTGCTAAACTGTGAACTGGATGTTATCTGAATTCATTAGAGTCGTTACATATTTGACCACTTCTAACTGGTGGCACAATCAACTTTTACATAAACTATACAGTCCACCTTAATGACTTCCCCAGCTCAATTTGACACCAGCTCCAAGGAGTCTTCCGCCCTTGTGAACACAGTTTTATAAGACTTGCTTTTAATGTTGTAGTTATTTCCAAGTGTGTTTTATACTCATTTAATCGTATATCAGTTGCATATAGCTTGACATTTTATATACTTTCTGGAAGAATACAAGAAACGTTCTTAACTTGATCTAATGCGATAATTTTGATATTGTCGAAGCAACCCTATTTATTGCTTAATTT